TATCTTTACCTTCCTCGAGAGCCTCGAAAGGGTCCAGAGAACTGATGCCAACCTCATCGAACACCTGCTGGCACATGATGGGGTGCAGGGGATGTTTGGAAATCCACAGCGGGATACTCTGGACTCTCCGAAACAGCTCGGGTGAGAAGGACAGGACAACGGGCAGGTGGTCGGATAGGGGCTGCTTCTCACAGGCTTTGCCGATCACGAATGAGTGAATACCATAACCGAGTAGCTGAGCAGTGCACATGCTAGTGTATATACGATCCAGCCGAGAGACAGACACTACATGAGCGACACCGTGAACGGGGTCGGACCGACCGGGGATGTGTATACCTTGACGCGATAGCACCTGGTGGGTAGGATGTGGCTGCTCGATCTCACACATGCTCGGAAACAGCCTGGAACAGAACTGGGCCATCGCGTGCGAGGTGTATACCCGACGACCAGAAAGATGAGCACTCGCCTCCCCTTCCGCAACGAAGTTGAAGTCTCCAGTGATGAAGCTCAGGGCGCTGGACTGCGGGGGGGGGGCCTGCTTTTGACTAGCCTCAGAAAATCTTTCTTGCTCTGCTCTAGGTTGCTCAGGCGGAATATGAATATTGAAGACGTGCATCGAACCATAGGTGCCCGTGCATTTATCATATGAGCTCGCCCAGGGACCAGCACATGATGAGAGATATGGATAAATTGAGCACGAAGACTGGGATGAACCATGATAATGCAACCGCCAGCGGGGGCAGTTTCAGCTTCGGAATGAGGAACGTCGCAAAGCGCGCCGTACCCAAAGCCATCAACCGTTTCTTTCAGAATTTGTCGTAGATCATGTGGACTACCACGGGCTTCTTGAATGCAGACGATGGAATGGCGAGAGACGAGATGCAGAAACCGACGCGCTTCTTTTTCTCCGTAACTGTGGCGACGACCACTGCGAGCCGAACAGGGACTGGGCGTTCCATGACACAATAGAAAACTTGTCGCGAGGCCGAAAAGGCAACTGCTGAGCTGCCGGCGGACTCGGGCAGCCTGGCGCAGGCGAGGGCGACGAGCTGGAAGAAGACGACGGCCTGGAACAGCCAGAAGAGGAGGAAGAAGAGGAAGCCGAAGATGAGCTGGAAGTACTGCTGCTGAGCGTTCGAATTCGTGAAGAGCGTAAGCGTTTCAGCCCGCGGCCTGAAGCGCACGCCGTAGTCCCACGGCGAGACCGCTTCACCCCAGAAGGTCGGGCTGCTCGCATAGAATGCTCCCACAGCAGGCCCTCGCTCAGGTCGTGCTGACTGTCCTGCTTTGGAGCGTGTCACAGCGAGCCACGAGGGCCAACTGCCTTGCACCACTCCGTCATGCTCTCCTCGGGGATCTGGAACTGCGAGAGGTGGCTGAACTCGGGCTCGATGGCCCACTGGGCGTGGTCGAGCTCCTGAATTCGGGCAAGTACGAAGGTGTCGTCGTTGACCGTGACGAACAAGAAGCCGCGGAAGCCGTTGCAGCCGATCTGCCAGTGTTGGCCGCGAAAGTCGACGTTATTCGACTTCCAATGCTCGACGACCCTCAGCCAGACTTGACCGAGCACCTTGTGCCTAGCGCGGGCGAACGGCGGGGCGTCGAGCCTGACCCTCAACTCGACTTGGCCGAGCTTCGTGCCGTGGTAGAAGAGCCCCCTGGTCCTGGCATCCTCTAGGAACTTCTTAGCCTCGTCCTCATCTGGGAACTTGAAATTGTATGACTGAGAGAAATTGGTAGCGCGAACCGTTGCGTTCTTGGTCGTGTCCTGCGGGAACTGCTGCTTGACCCAGTCGGAGTGCCGTTGGAGAACACGGGCCAGCATGGGTCTCTTGAAGCCTCCAACCCACACCTTAGTTTTGTCGCCAGCGGTCTGTGGCGGGCGCGGGCGCCCATCAGCTTCACGATTAAGGGAGCCGCCAGAACCTCCCGCGACTGAGCTGCCACCAACGGAAGAGGCAGCCGTAGAAACCAACTGGGACTTTCGGTCGAGCTCGTCGAATGTGGCTCGGATCTTGGCGTCCAAGGCGGTGTCGAGAGCCTGTCGACTGAGGATTGAATGTCAGAGTGGATAGACTCGTATTGGCGCTGCATAGTTGCGAACTTGAGGTCGTGGTCAGCCAACTGCTGCTGTATCGTACCGATCGAGGCGCAGGCACGATTCATAGGTCGGATGAGCGCCTTCAGCCATCCAGGTTGGGCAGACGGCACGGCCTCCCCGTCCATCTCCTCGTCGGATCCCTGAGTGATCAGGTCCACCATCAAGTCCGCTTTGCGTTTGCCGTTGAAGCCGTCGGCGGGGACCGCACCTGAGTCGCCGCCCTCTGCGTCCACCAAGCGATCTTCATCTTGGGAAGCGGCCGCAGCAGCCGAACCAGAGAGGGCCATCGCGACTGGGAAACGAGAGTGATGCTGAGAAAGACGGTGCAGCAAACTGATAGGAGGTGCCGCAACATGCGAACATAAGGCACGGGCACTGAAGCTCACGTGCCGCGAGGCCTGACCTCGCAAAAAGGCCGCTCTGAGCCGACCCCTCGGCAGCGACCAAGCTCGAAGCGCCAGGGAAGCGTTTCGAACTTGAGCCAAAATGGCTTGAGCCAAAATGGCTACGGAAGAGGAGGAGGAGGAGGAGGAGGAGGAGGAGGAGGAGGAGGAGGGAGAAGGGCGGAGGGAGGAGGGGAGAGGAGGGGGAGGAGGAGGAGGAGGAAGGAGGAGGGAGGAGGAGGGGGGGAGGGAAGGAGGGAGGAGGGAGGAGGAGGAGGGAGGGAGGGGTAGGAGGAGGGAGGGAGGAGGGAGGAGGGAGGGAGGAGGGAGGGAGGAGGGGAGGAGGGAGGGAGGGGGACGGAGGAAGAGGAGGAGAGGAGGAGAAGGAGGAGGGAGGAGGAGGAGGAAGGAGGAGGGGAGGAGGAGGAGGAGAGAGGAGGAGGAGGAGGGGAGGAGGGAGGAGGGAGGAGGGAGGAGGAGGAGAGGAGAGGAGGGAGGAGGGAGGAGGGGAGGAGGGAGGAGGGGGAGGGGGGAGGGAGGAGGGAGGAGGGAGGAGGGTAGGAGGGAGGGAGGGAGGAGGGGAGGAGGAGGAGGAGGAGGAGGAGGGAGGAGGAGGGAGGAGGGAGGAGGGAGGGACGAGGGAGGGAGGGAGGGAGGGAGGGAGGGAGGGATGGGAGGGAGGGAGGGAGGGAGGGAGGGAGGGAGGAGGGAGGGAGGAGGAGGAGGAGGAGGAGGAGGAGGAGGAGGAGGAGGAGGAGGAGGAGGAGGAGGAGGAGGGAGGAGGGAGGAGGGAGGATGGAGGAGGGAGGGTGGAGGAGGGAGGAGGGTCGGAGGGAGGGGAGGGGGGGGAGGAGGGAGGAGGAGGAAGGAGGGAGGGAGGAGGGAGGAGGAGGGGGAGGAGGGAGGAGGGATGGGGAGGAGGGAGGAGGAGGAAGAGGAGGAGGGGAGGAGAAGGAGGCGAGGAGGAGGAGGAGGAGGAGGAGGAAGAGGAGGAGGAGGAGGAGGAGGAGGAGGGGAGGGAGGAGGAGGAGGAGGAGGAGGAGGAGGAGGAGGAGGAGGAGGAGGAGGAGGAGGAGGGGAGAGGAGGAGGCGGCCCGCCGTCCAGCCTGCCAGCGGCGCCCCCGAGGCCTTCAGGCGGTCGTCGGCAGCGGGCGCGCGCCCTGCGCAGGCCCGCGCTGCGGGGCGCGGCCGTCGGCAAGGCCCTCTGAGCAACAGGTCGCGGGGACGGCTGCGAGCCGCCGCGAAGCCGCGCAGACCTGCTGAGCAAACCTGCTGGGCAGCGCCTGGGGCGTTGCAGAGCCCTGCGTGTTCCCCGCCTGGGAACAAGAGCCGCGCTTGCGGCCAGCCCACTTTGACAGTGCCTCCCCGTGCCAGAGTGGCGCATGCGTCGCCAACGACGGCACACACACACACACAAACACACACACACACAGCAGAGTCCCGCACTTGGTGGCACCTGCGCTCGCGGCGCCCCCGCGCGCTCAGGTGCGGAGGGGCATTTTGCAAAGGCGAGTGGTTCGCAACGCGCACCCTGGGGAGCGGGCGAGGACCTCGACGGAGCTCTCCGCCGCGCCCCGGGGAGGCCCGACGTGGCGGCTCCCCAAGCCCCAACGACGCAGGCCGCAAACCACACCCCGGCGCAACCACGCCCCTTGTAGTCTCCGACAGGTGCGGAGGAGCGCCTGAGTTTCTTGACTACCTACCAGACTACCCCAACCCAACCCGAAGACCCGAATTTCGGGTTGGGGGGGTGCGGGCTTCATTTCTGTATTTCCTATGTTGCCCGACCCCTCCCCCACTGGAAATGGAGGGCACATCGGGGCCTTCGGGTTGGGTTGGGGTGGTTTGGTGGGCGGTGATTGGCTTGCTCCGGCGCGAAGGCCGCGCGCGCGGGGGCAAGTCCGGGGCGCGGCTGCGCTCGTGCTTCCGCTCTCCCCTCGCCGCCGCGGCGGCGCCGCCCCAGGCGGCGCGGCCCCAACCTGCCGCCGCGCCCGCAGGGTCCGGGAAGGCCCCCCAGGGACGAGCTGCCTCGACGGCTCCGCCCCAGCGCCGCGTGTCCCAGGCCGGGGCGTGGCGCTCCGTGTTCACGCTGGCGGCGCCACGGGCGTGCAGCCACTGCGTGATTTGATCCCACTCTCCCTCCCCCTCGTCTTCCGTCTTCGTCTTCGTCCTCGTCCTCGTCCTCGTCCTCGTCCTCGTCGTCGTCGTCGTCGTCGTCGTCGTCGTCGTCGTCGTCGTCGTCGTGGTCGTCGTCGTCGTCGTCGTCGTCGTCGTCGTCGTCGTCGTCGTCGTCGTCGTCGTCGCCGCGCTCCTCCTCCTCCTCCTTCCTCCTCCCACCTCCTCCTCCTCCTCCTCCTTCTTCCTCCTCCTCCTCCTCCTCCTCATCCTCCTCCGCCTCCTCCTCCTCCTCCGCCTCCTCCTCCTCCTCCTTCTCCTCCTCCTCCTTCCTCCTCCTCCTCCGCCTCCGCCTCTAAGATCAAATCCCCTCCGCTCCCCCGATGGCCCCCCGGTGGGTCCTCGGCCCTGGTGCGGGTCGTAGTCGAACACCGTCCCGTCGATGAAGAGCTTCATCGTCGGGAAGGCGCTCACGCCTGCGCAGCGGGACTCTCTCGGAGGGCGAGAAGGGGGGGAGGGGAGGGAGAGAGGGAGGGGAGGGAGGGAGGAGGGGGGGGAGAGGGGGGGAGGGGTGGGAGGGGAGGGGGAGGGAGGGAGGGAGGGAGGGAGGGAGGGAGGGAGGGAGGGAGGGAGGGAGGGAGGGGTGGAGGGGGAGGGAGGAGGAGGAGGAGGAGGAGGAGGAGAGGAGGAGGAGGATGAGGAGGAGGAGGAGGAGGAGGAGGAGGAGGGGGGAGAGGAGGGAGGGAGGGAGGGAGGGAGGGAGACGAGAAAGGGAGACGAGGGAGGGAGGAGAGGGGAGAGGGACAGCTGAAGCGCAGCGCGGAGACGAGCAGACTTCGGCAACACCAAAGACCCAGGGAGGCAGCGGCGGTCTCAGCTTGCTGGCGGATCGGCATGCCGTGGCCCTATCAAGGGGCGAACTCTCTCTGGGTCTCATGAGACCCGAGGAGGACGGGCCAGCCCACGCCGCACGGCCAAAGAAGGAGGAGAAGAGGAGGAATGGATAAAGAGAGAAGGGCAGTCGCGCTTCGACCATGCCACCCTGCACCAGCAGGATGGCAGCCCACACGGGCGCCGCGGGGAGCCGGCACTCACCCAAGCGATTTCGGTATAGACCCGGGGGGGGTAAAATAAAATGGAGGCCAGTCCTCGAGAAACTTTCCGCAAAAAGCCCAACCCTGAGACCCCAGGGCGCCCATCGATATCTGGTGTGGGAACGTGTCACGCTGTCCGCGACAGGACCACCGAAACCGAAGAAGCCCAGGGCACCCTGGAGGCAAGCAAGGTGTGTCCTGGCATGGGCCTCCGCTGAGATACAGTCAAAACGTATATTAAGGACGCGTGGTAAGGACGCAAGACCTCTGGAGGCTGAAGTTGGGATTTGTTGGGCGGCGGCGACCAATGAAAACGGCAAAGGACGGGCCACAGAGGCAAGGACGCAAGGGTATCCTAGATGAAGGCGCGCGTCCTTACTAGGCGCGTTGACTGTAGAGCCACCGTGCCGCCATTGAGGGCACGGGCGCGGGCGAGCGCCGTACTTGTCGCCGACGTTGCCGTACCGGCTGGCGTCGATCCTCGCCTGCCGCGGGTCTTCGCCGCCGCGCCGCCGCCCTCGAGCCGTCCGCTCGGCGCCTGCCCCCTCTCCCCATCCGCTCCGTCTCCTCGGCCCCGCCTCCCTTTCCCCCTCCCAGCCCTGCCTTCCTCCCTGCCCCTCCCTCCCTGGTCGCTCCTTCTCCCGCTCGCCTCCCTCTCCACCCTCCCAGACCTCTGGCCGCTCCAATGTTGTTCGAGGCGTGGGCCTTAGAAGTCTGGACCGCTTCCAAAAGGCCTGTGTTTCGTCTTTCGTCGGATCTGGCCGGTCCCGAAGCCCCCCGGCGAGGGCCCCCAGAGGCCGAAATCGGCCGAAAACCCGCCGCTCCAACTCTTTGGAAGGTCGGATCTCTAGGTTCTCCCTCTCCTCTCCCCCTCCTCCCGCTCCCCCCTCCCTCTCCCCCTCCTCCTGCTCCCCCTCTAGGTTCTCCCCCTCCTCTCCCCCTCCTCCCGCCTCCCGTCATCCTTCCTTCCTTCCTTCCTTCCTTCCTTGCCTGCCTGCCTGCCTGCCTGCCTGCCTGCTGCCTGCCTGCCTGCCTGCCTGCCTTCTCCTCCTCATCTTCCTCCTCCTTCTCTTTGACGTTGCTCAGATTTTGGCTACGTGGCTGAAGCGTTCTTCCTTCCTCCTCCTCCTTCTCCTCCTCTCCTCCCCTCCCTCCTCCCTCCTCCCTCTTCCCTCTTCCCTCCTCCCTCTTCCCTCCTCCCTCCTCCCTCCTCCCTCCTCCCTCCTTCCTCCCTCCTCCCGGTTCCTGGGCTCCCGGTCCCGGGTTCCCGGGTTCCCGGTTGCTGGTTCCAGGGCGATTTCGGTGGGCGGCGAGGTTCCCGGGTTCATGGTCGATCTCCATATCGATCGGTCTCACCATCGATCTCATTACCCACCTCTCTATCGATCTCACAATCGATCTCACAATCGATCTCACAATCGATCTCACTATGGATCGCACGAGCGATCTCACAATCGATCTCACTGAATCGACTTCATTACCGGTCTCATGAGCGAACTTACTATCGTCCTCACTATCGATCTCACTACTGATTCGGGCAATTCTCTGGTATAAGTTGAAGCTTCCCCACACCGTATGATCAATTTTGCAACAGCTACGCGGACCGAGGAGTGCTCCCTTGCTTCAGGGTATTAACGCTCGAGACTGCTTCAACTTGTGTGAGCAAGGACTGGAGACGGTGCATCAGTCCGTTGTGCGGACGGGGGACGGCTCGTTTGCAGAACGGTGCCCTCCCTGAGCACGCCACCCAACTCAGTGATCACAGCTGCCTGCGCTTCTCACGCGCAGGCGGACAAGAGGCGGATCTTCTTTCGAAATGTAATCCTCGCCTGATCGGCTGATCGGTTGGCCAAGGGCGGATCTTCTTTCGACAAGATCGACTGATCGGCTGGCCTCGGCTGATCGGCTGATCGGCTGGCCAAGGGCTGATCGACAAGAGGCGGATCTTCTTTCGAAATGGAAGTCTCGCCTGATCGGCTGGCCGAGGGCGTGGTGGTCTTTCCCGGGGGCCCGCTCCACGCAGTGACAGAAGGACTTACGCGGAGGGGCTCTGCGACGGCGGGGTTTGCGCTGTCGCATCGCTGCCGCAGACCTGAGCGTGTCCGGGTCCTCCTCCTCCCTGGCCACCTCCTCCCTGGCCACCTAAGCTTGTCCTCCTCCTCCCTTCCCTGGCCACCTAAGCTTGTCCCTTGTCCTCCTCCTAAGCTGGTCGTCCTCCTCCTCCCTGGCCACCTTGCCTCTGACGTTGCCCGAAGCCCCCCAGCGTTTTCTGCGAGGGCAGGCGCGCCGCTGCGGCGAGCGCCGCCGCGCCGCGCCGCTGCCTCGCGGCGAGCGCGAGGCCTGCGCGCCGCGGCGCGGCCTCGGCGCGCGCCGCGAGGGGCGCGGCGCGGCCCGCGGCGCGCGCGCCGCGGCGCAGCACGCCGCGCGCGCGAGCTCGGCGCTTCAGTCCTCGGCCGCCGCGGCCTCGGCGCCCTCCGCCTCTCGAGGGCGAAGAACGGCGACGGCGACGACGGCGACGGCGACGGCGACGGCGACGACGGCGACGACGACGAAGACGACGATGGCGAAGACGGCGACGGCGACGGCGACGACGACGACGACGGCGGCGGCGACGACGGCAAGGGCGTTTGCGACGACGATTGCGACGAGCGCACAATGTCGGTCCGGCGTGGCCGACCCTACGAAGGCGGCGCGGGGGGGGGTGGCCAGGGCCCTCAGGAGGCGCGTGGAGAGCAGGAGTCGGAGTCGCTGTCGTCGTCGGGCCCAGGGAGAAACAAACTTGAATCGGCACAGGTCCCAAGACTTCCAAGATTTGTCCCATCATCGTGTCTGAGCTTTCTGACGCCCCCCCGTTTTCCATACTTCTTTTCAACAATTTCATGGAAATTGGGGCGGGGAGGCCCTTCCGGCGCATGGCAGGGCACCGTTCCCTTGGCCACGGCGAGGCGGGTCTCAGTCAGGAAGGATTGCGATTCCACGCGATAGTTGCCATGTGCTCACGCGCGTCTCGTGCTCAAAACGGTGTAAGCATACGCTTTTTGTGGGTCTGTGCGGGACCCCCTCCCTGGCGCGCGGAGCGCGCCATGGGGCAGCGTCAGAGGTGACGCCATGGGGGCCCTCCGCGCAGATCCTCCTCCTCCTCCTCCTCCTCCTCCGCCTCCTCCTCCTCCTCCTCCTCCCCCTCCTCCTCCTCTCCTCCTCCTCCTCCCTCCTCCTCCTCCTCCCCCTCCTCCTCCTCCTCCTCCTCCTCCTCCTCCTCCTCCTCCTCCTCCTCCTCCTCCTCCTCCTCTTCACGGCAACTGGCCATCGCTCGGACGTCCATCCCCTGTGCTTTTGTTCGGTCTCGTGCGTGGTTTTTCGCAGGATAATCCAGGATGCTCCTTAAAAAACCCCGCCGAGAAAAGGTGCACACGTCCGAGCGATACCAAGGAAATGGAACTCATGGAAATCGGCATTTCTTTGTGCTTCTTTGTATGCTTGTGCCATGCTGGCCACGATGGCACACGGTGAACACGATGACCGCCTCCCCATGATGGCCATGAGGGCCCAAGGAGAACACCTGGATGGCCCCAAGAATAGAGGCCTCCTAGTTGTTTACGTGGCATCTGGCAAATAACTCTCCTAGAGTCGGAGGATCGCGCCGCATCGGCGATGCAGCGGTGATGCAACAGCGATGCATGGTCGACGTGGGCGATGCATCGGCGACGCCGACGTGAAGCAAATCGGGGTCCACATCGAGCCGCAATCGCCGGTGCGTCGCCGATGCGGCGCGATCCCCCGACCCCATCTAACGACCCCATCTGGGAGGCCTAGAACATCACCCCGCCCAGAAAAAAGTAGCACGGAACTTCCCACCCTACCTGCGACGTCAACCAGAAAACAGGTGGTCGAGGACCGAGGACCGACCGAGGACCGAGGCAATGGAATCTCTCTGTGATTTCATGGCCCTCTCCTCTTCCAATCTGCCCCCCGCCCTCCCGAGGAGGACCCCAACTGCGAGGCCTCGAGATCACGTCGCCTCGCCTGGCCCCCGCCCTCCCTCGCGCAAGGGCCGGGGCACGGCGCGCCGCTCGCCCGTGCTCGTGCCCAGCCCTTTCCTGCCCGGATGCCTCGCCCTCCGCACGGCGGCCCGCGGCGTGCACCTCCGCCAGCAGGTCGCGCACCCGCTGCTCGGCGGCCTCCGGGCTCGAGGCCCCTCCAGAAGGAGCAAGACGACGGCAGAAGCGAGACAAAATCGGGCCGCCCAAGACGGCCCAATGGGCCTGCACCAGGCCCCCAAGATGGCTCAAGACAGCCCAGGAGACCCCCAAGAGGGCCTCAAGTCGACCCAAAAGAGATCAAAAGAGTCCACGAATCGCCCGATGGGCTCCTCCCCCCAAAAACCCAAGACGGCCGTGAACAGCCCCAAGAGGGCACCACCACGGCCTCGAGACGCCCCCAAGGCGGGTTGGAAGCTGTATCGGGCGCCGCGGCCGTTTCAGAGCGCTCTGGAGCGCCCAGAAAGCGTTCCGGGACGCTGTGGAAAGGATTTACCGCGATTCTGGGGCGTTCTTTATGACGGAGATTGGCGCTGAGCTGTTCGCAAAGATGTGTACTCTTGATCCAGATATCCAAAACGGCACGGAGGATCCTGCGGAACGATTTCTGAGGCCGCCCCCCTCACCCTTCCCCCTCCTCCTCCTCCGCTATATGATTTCCATCACGTCTTGTCCGGCTGCTTTAGAGCACAGCGGCCGCGCACTGCAACCGATGTGTCGTCCATGCACGGTTCTGGCCTGACCTGACCCTGGCTCGGCTCTGTTCTGACCTGACCTGTACATCCCCTGCGGGGCTGTCCGGGCCTCCCCAGACACCCCGCCGCTCCAATCTTTTCTGCGCGCCGCTCCATTGTTTTCGATGCGGGAGCCCAAGAGGCCTGGATCGTTTCCGCAAGGCCAGTGTTTCGTCCCGAGTCTTTTCTTGACGGCCCCGAGGCCCGGGAAAGGCCCCCAGGAGGCCAAAATCGGCAGAAAACCCGCCGTTCCAATGTGTTGGAGCGTTCGAGTAGGGGATCGACTACAGAATTCATGTACCCAGAAACCATTTGTTCGTCGAACCTGCTGAAAAGGAAGAATGCCCGTAGATCTACGATCTTTATACGCACTTCTTGCACATTCGGCAGGAAAATCAACTTTGGAGTGAATCAATTCTGCATGTTGGCGCCCTGCTCACAAGGCCCTACTTTCTACTCACTACTCACTACTCGCTACTCCCTACTCGCTACTCCCTACTCGCTACTCCATGCTCGTTACTCGCTACTCGCTACTCACCACTCACTACTCACTACTCTCTACTCACTGCGCACTACTACTCACTACTCACTACTCACCACCCACTCCTCGCTATTCGCTACTGTCTATTCCCTCATCCCTACTCATTGCTTACTACTCACTATGCACGACTCACTACACACTACTCACTCCTCACTACTCACTACTCATAATTCCTTACTCTCTACTTCCTCCCCACTACTCACTACCCACTATTCACTACTCACTAATCTCTACGCACTACTCACTACTACCACTACCACTTACCCGCTGCTCACTACTCACGACTCACTGCGCACTACTACTCACTATCAAATACCCACTACTCACCAATCGCTACTCAAAACACTCTATCTACTCTCTACTCACTACCCAAGAGACCCCCTCCCCAGCCCCGTGTTCGGCGCAAAGGGGGGGAGGGGGGAGGGGTCCGGACCCCCCCCCCCCCCTTCAAGGAGGGGGGGGGGGGGGGTTGGACCCCTTCAAGGGTGGAGGGGGGGGGGGTTGGACCCGCATGTGGGCCGAATCCCAACCAACTGGGCCCAATCCCAAACAACTGGGACCAATCCCAAGCGGTGCGAAAAGCAAACTGGAGACTGCTTGGGATAGCCTCACAATAAGTTTTTAATTGTAGAGGAGCCCAAGACGACTGTGAAAACCAAGTGGCACCTCTTATGTCAACGCAGAGGTTCTGGAAGCCAACATACGTGCCAGAGTTGGAATTGGTCTCAGTTTTGGTCTGCGCACGAGCGCTATGTTAAGATGAGCAAGGAGGGCACCGAAGCGTAAGCAACACCGCACCGAATTGCATCGATTCTAGAATATGCAAAATGGGTCCTCCTATTGGTATTAGTAGTAGTAGCAGTCGTACTACTAGTACTAGTAGTAGAAATAATAGTAGTAGTAGTAGTATTAGTAGCAGCAGCAGCAGCAGCAGTAGTAGTAGTAGTAGTAGTAGTAGTAATAGGAATAATAGTAGTAGTAGTAGTAGTAGTAGTAGTAGTAGTCGTAGTAGTAGTCGTCATAGTCGTAGTCATAGTAATAGTAGTAGTAGTAGTAGTAGTCGTAGTAGTAGTAGTAGTCGTAGTCGTCGTAATCGTAGTCGTAGTGATAATAGTAATAATAGTAATAGTAGTAGTAGTAGTAGTAGTAGTAGTAGTAGTAGTAGTAGTAGCAGTAGCAGTAGCAGTAGCAGTAGCAGTAGTAGGTGGTGGTAGTAGTAGTAGTAGTAGTCGTCGTAATAGTCGTAGTAGTAGTAGTAGTAGTAGTAGTAGTAGTCGTAGTCGTAGTAGTAGTAGTAGTAGTAGTAGTAGTATAAATATCCGTAGTAGTAGTGCGTAGTAGTAGTAGTAGTAGTAGTAGTTGTTGTTGTAGATGTAGATGTAGATGTAGATGTAGTGATAGTAGTAGTAGTAGTAGTAGTAGTAGTAGTAGTAGTAGTAGTAGTAGTAGTAGTAGTAGTAGTGGCAGTAGTAGTAGCGATAGCAATAGTAATAGTAGTAGGTTTCGGTTCGGTTTCGGACCCCTGCGATTTACAGATGTTATGCAGAAAGCCTCGCTCTCACCTCCTCCCTCTTCCTCCTCCTAAGCCTCTATATCTCCTCCTCCCTCCTCCTCCTCATTCCTCCTTCGCTCTCTCTCTCTCTGTCTCGCTCTCTCTTCTGTGTGTTTTCGTTCGTCGCGCATTCCTCTTCCTCCTCATCCTTCTCCGTCTTCCTCCTCATCCTCTTCCCGATCCTCCTCCTCCTCCTCCTCCTCCTCCCCGTCCTCATCCGCCTCCTCCCCCTCTCCCCCTTTTCTGAAGGAGTGCCGCAACTTTGGGAAAACCATTGGAAACAACCAAAAAAAACAAAGAAACTGAAGTGCTGGAGGCGAAAACTTTAGGAAACCCATTGGAAAAAAGCCAGGGAGCACCCGTCCGAAGGGACACGTCCAAAGGGAATCCCAGCACTCTCTGTGGATTTTTTTCTCCAATGGGTTTCCTAAAAGTTTTCGGCTCCAACAGTTCAGTTTTTGTTTTTTTTTTCCCCCAATGATTTTCCCAAAGTTTTTGAATTGTGTGCTTTTGGGGCCTCTCAGGCGGGAGCATCGTTTAGAGTGTTCTATCGGGAACCTCTCTGGCGGGAGCCTCCTTTTGTTTGCGTTTTGGGGGACTTTTCAGGCGGGGGGCTGGGGGAGCCATGGGGGCCGCCATGGGGGGAGCCACGAGGGAGCCATGGGGGAGCCATGGGGAGCCGTGGATGGGGTGGGGGGAGCATCCTCCCCATCCCCCTCCTCTCCTCATCCTCGTCTCCTTGTCTCCTGATATTGTATATTCTCCTCCTCCTCCTGCTCCTCGTCCTCTGCGCCTCTCGCTTTCTCATGTTCCTCGTCTTCCTCCTCATCTTCATCGTCCTCATCCTCATCGTCATCCTCTTCCTCATCCCATCATCATCATCATCTTCATCGCCTTCTTATCTGCATATTACATATTCTTTCCCAGCATCATCATCTTCCTCATCCTCACCTTCCACGTTCTCATCTTCCTCCTCATTATCATCAGCATCCTCATCATCATCTCCATGATCATCTTCATCTTATCATCATCTTCCTCACCATCCTTATCTCCATCCTCACCCTCATCTCCTTATCCTCCTCATCTGCCTGATCCCCCTCATCCTCCAGCGATTGGGATGTGGATCGAGCATGTGTTATTCGTATTCCTCCTCCTCCGCATCTCCTTCCCCTTCCTCCACGTTCGCTTCGTTGCGCAGTGGGTTTCAAAGTTGGCCTCGGACAGTTTGCCCTGGCCTGCCATCTTCTCACAACACTCTTTCTGAACATGAGCGAGGAAGACGAGGAAGAACGAGGAAGAGGAGGAGGAGGAGGAGGAGGACGAAGAACGGCATGAGATGGGGGGCATCCATTTTTTGGATGCCCTCGAGAGCACCACAATTGCAGAAGAGAGTTCGCAAACGAACGGCACCAGTTCCTAGTTGATCCCGTTTGTCCTCGAGGCACGGCAGCGGCTGCGATGCAGACCACATGCTGGGTTCGCGCGTGCATGGTGTGAGATTGGGGCCACCCATGCATGGGGCTGAACGGGGAACCCACGCCACTGCGGCGAAAAAAACACAATCATCCAACCATCAGCGTCGCCTCCACCGTCGCATCACGCCGCGTTCGCAGAATTCCTGAAATCGCGGGGGTCCGAAACCGAACCGAAACCTAGTAGTAGTAGTAGTAGTAGTAGTAGTAGTAGTAAGTAGTAGTAGTAGTAGTAGTAGTAGTAGTAGTAGTCGTAGTAGTCGTAGTAGTCGTAGTAGTAGTAGTAGTAGTAGTAGTAGTAGTAGTAGTAGTAGTAGTAGTAGTAGTAGAGGTGGTGGTAGTAGTAGTCGTAATAAAAGTAGTCGTAGTCGTAGTTGTAGTAGTCGTAGTCGTATAAATGGTAACAGTAGTAGTAGTAGTAGTAGTAGTAGTAGTAGTAGTAGTAGAAGTAGAAGTAGAAGTAGTAGTAGTAGTAGTAGTCGTAGTAGTAGTAGTAGTAGTAGTAGTTGTAGTAGTAGTAGTGGCAATAGTAGTAGTAGTGGTAGTAGTAGTAGTAGAAATAATAGTAGTAGTAGTAGTAGTAGTAGCCGTGGTCATCGTCGTAGTCGTAGTCGTAGACGTAGTAGTAGTAGTAGTAGTAGTAGTAGTAGTAGCAGTCGTCGTCGTAGTAGTAGGTAGTAGTAGTAGAAGTAGAAGTAGTAGTCGTTGTAGTAGTCGTAGTAGTAGTAGTAGTAGTCGTAGTAGTCGTAGTAGTAGTAGTAGTAGTAGTAGTAGTAGTAGTAGTCGTGTCAGTAGTCGTAGTAGCAGTAGTAGGTGGTGGTAGTAGTAGTAGTAGTAGTAGT